CTGCCTACCCCAGCCTCCCAAAGTGCTGGGATTACAGGCGTTAGCTACCACGCCCAGCCTGGGATGATACATTTTTTAAATGTTTGAAATACTTCTCTGAGTAGCTCAGACATTTTTCTGGAAAAGTCAGATGTACGCATTTGCATTTACTCCCTCAGGTCCTCCGCCCTGACAGTGTTTCCACCTGTTCTGCCTCTAGCTGTTGTTCACCTTTTGGACAGCATTACTATTTATCTTGATAGATGTCCCCCCATCCCCAGAACTGCCAGACAATGTTGGAGGCAGGGGCTTTGATAGTGGGCCAGGCGTGAAAAGCGCAGAATGTCTAAAAAGGGAATGTGTACATGAAGTTTTTTGGGGGAAGAGAGGAGCTAGAGCAAGTTAATCTGCTTATTTCTCATTTAAAGGTAACCTCTGAATTGGGAAGGGAGGTTGTAGTTTGCAGGGAGTTTTCCATTTAATAGGCTTAATTTCCTAAGCCTGACTGAAGAAATTTCTTTCCCTTTTCTGCAGCTGAAAATAGTGATGGCATCCACATAATTTTGAAGTGATGTCTTATATAGACTGAACTATATTCAGTACCAAATAGTCACGCTTACAAGTGTGTGAAGACTGAATCCAAGAAGTCTTGGGATTGGATTTTACCATATGAAATGTTTCATATTGAAAACACAAGATGATCTTTCTAATGAGCTGTATGAGAGGTGAATCTCCTCACTGTCACTGCCATAGCCAAGCATCCTTGTGAGAGTAAGCACATCGGCACAGCATGCATCCAGCTCTGGAGGCCACGGTGCAGGCATAGCTGCCTGCTTCTCTGGCAGAGGCCAGTAAATACAGTTCCTAGAACAGCCTTTGCTGTCTTTTTACACTGTATGCGGTTTGGAAATGAATGTAAAAACTTATGTGGGCATTTACCTTTCTGTGCCAGTTTGGCTTTTATTGCCTGAACCTTATGCTGACCTGGAGAGGAGATGGGGGGGACAGTGCTGTTGTGGAGCCAGCAGTGAATCTGTATGTGGAGAGATGTGTTGTGCTGATGCAGCCATTGGTGGTCAGCTAAGAGGCTTGGCACCTTCTTGGAAGAAATCATGTCTAAGGGTGTACGTTTGATGTGATCATGCCAGATTGGAGAAGATCCAAGCCAGGAAGATGGGCTTGAAGCAAACTGCATTATCAGGAGTACCTTGATGAGAGGATCCGTGTAAATCCTAATAGGTACAAAGACTTTTGTGTTTTGGCTTTGTCACAGATTTATTGAAAAACTTTTTTGCTTCTGCTTCCATTTTTAGCATTTTCGTTTCTGGTTTTCATTTTTGGAGATTCTTTGCCTTTTAAACTCATGTGGTTTTTCTCTTGTTTTCTTCCCTCTCTCCATCTCTGACTACCACTCCCCACCTCACCCTGACCCCCCACCCCCACCATCCCTTTAAAGTCCTACCCCAGACATTGGAAATAGGTGACCCGAGTAGGGGGAGAAAGTATTGTTGTTGATAGCTTCTGACTAGGAGTTAAGGGATCTTCATTATGAACAAGATGAAATTTTTTTCATGGAAACACTAGATGTTATCTGTCAAACACTAAAATGTACCATCCAAATCCCTTAAGCCTCTCCTCAAATATTGAGCTTAGTACAATCACGGATAGACATGCTGGTGATTATTTAGGGGCTTTTTATACACCACGTTATAGCTTCTTTCTTTATAAAAAGAGTGCCTCTTTAATAAAACCAAATGCTTGTCTGCTAGCATACTTTTCAAAGGGAATCCACTGTTTTCTCACTTTCCTCCTATATCTCCCGTCTTTCATCCAGAACCTTCCCAAAAATCCATCAGCAAGCATGTTTGAGGCCTGTGGTGTAGGGGACTGAATTTTTTTTTAAAACTTCTATTCCATTTTAATTGTAGCATCTCTCTGTCCATATACCCAGATGTCCTGATCTGAATGTACTATTTGATCATCTTTGTTCAGGCAAAAATAGAAAATGAGTAATTTTGAGTTTGAAATCTCTCCTAGAAGACAAACTACTTCAGTGGGTAAAAGCTTTGACATTTTATGTTTTATTCATGAAGGGGGTTAATTATTTGCTACAGAGAAGCACGGTCTGTTTTCGTCTTCAGTTTGAAAATATCTGTAACTTAATAGACCCTATAGGCAGAGAGCTTTCCTTTCTTTTTCCCTTTGCTTTTGTGTGACCACATGTTTTCTGTACCAGTCACTGGGGAAAGAAGTGAGTTTATCTCTTGTTTTAAAAGTTTTGCTTGTCTATTTAGCATTCCTTTTCGGATCTCAAGATTTATGGAACAATAAATGTCATTTAATGCTGTGTGCTTATTTTGAATTCTTCATCAGGTTTTAGAAGCGGGGTAAAAATATAGATGTTTATCAAACTTGAAATTCTGCTGAGTGGCATTGAACATGAGTGTGTCATGAAACAGGCTAAATAAATTATGGCACCAGCAAATTTGTTACTTTGTTTTTTTAATAGTAGGATGTACACATTTCAGGATAATAAATGTTTTCTGATTGTTTTGCAGATGTGTGTCTCATTTAAAATCCCAGTTCCTGCTAGTGTCACTTTATGTAATAGAATCAAGGGGTTTTCCTGTGTGTGTTCTGTGCCAGTGTAAATGTAATAAGAGGTTAGTTTTTGCCTTTTGTTTATTTTCTCAAAGCTGATGCAACTGAGGATTTTTATTCCAGTAATGCCAAACTTTTAAAGGAAGCAAACCTGATTTTCTTACCAGGGGTTCTCCTGTTTTGTAAATGAGGCCATGAGTCATTGAGCATTGAGTCCAATAGCTGTGATAGGTTGTATCTTGGCTCAAAAGAAATCGCATATAGAAGGCTCTGGTCATTTAATTTTTTTTTTTTTTTTTTTTTTTTGAGACAGAGTCTCACTGTTCTCGCCTGGGCCTGGAGTGCAGTGGCATGATCTTGTCTCACTGCAACTTCTGCCTCCTGAGTAGCTGAGATTACAGGCACATGCCACCACGCCTGGCTAATTTTTGTATTTTTAGTAGAGATGGGGTTTGACTATGTTGGCCAGGCTGGTCTCGAACTCCTGACCTCAAGTGATCCACCCACCTTGGCCTCCCAAAGTGCTGGGATTACAGGTGTGAGCCACTGCGCACCTAGCCTTGTTAATTTTTTAAACGAAACTAATTCATAATCACTGAAGCAAGTCTGTTATATGCTCATTTACTGAAGTTACTTCCTCCATCAGTCCTCCTCCCCCATCTCCTCCACAACAGTGGGTATAAATGCATATTTAAGTAACTGCTATGGTATCCATGCAATTTTTAGACCAAGGAATACTAGAAAATATAAAGCAATAAAATGACTTTAATAATTACTCTGATAATCTTGCCAAGTTTCCATCTATGGGAAGATAAATATATATCTGCCTTCTTTTCCTAGAATGCAGCTGAGGTAACATATCCTTAAAAATACTTACAAAACTAGGCTGGACGCAGTGGCTCAAGCCTGTAATCCCAGCACTTTGGGAGGCCGAGGCAGGTGGATCATGAGGTCAAGAGATCGAGACCATCCTGGTCAACATAGTGAAACCCTGTCTCTACTAAAAATACAAAAAATTAGCTGGGCATGGTGGCACATGCCTGTAATCCCAGCTACTCAGGAGGCTGAGGCAGGAGAATTGCCTGAACCCAGGAGGTGGAGGTTGCGGTGAGCCGAGATCACACCATTGCACTCCAGCCTGGGTAAAAAGAGCAAAAGTCTGTCTCAAAAAAAAAACAAAACAAAAAAAACTTACAAACTGTATCTAATAAAGGTATTGCTAGTCATGGGAAAATGTCTTGCCTTTGCTTTTTCACTTAAGTTTCTCATGAGCTCCTGGCCCTTCAGTGTGGGGGAGTGGTTGTTAGGAAGGGCTGGCCACCATGAACACCTACTTTCACAGTGAAGGTGGCGATAGGTTCTTAATAAAGATCGTAAATGGGGACAGCGTGGAGCAAGAATCAACCACAGTAAAGAGTAGTCATCTTACCAGATTTCAGATAACATCAGGAAGGTGTGAATTTGGAAAATGGTTTTCCTTGGATGTGTCTGCCATAAAATCATAGCAATAAAACCCTCTGACTTAATTTTTTTAAAGCATTGCAATGGTTTATTCAATTTTATGAGTCTAAAAGGTACCAACACTTACGGATCTGAGTTTTAAGTTTGTAAAACTTTTGAGTAGTTATGGTGTAACCTGATTTCTAAGATTTCAAAATAAACTTGAAAAACAAAAATCACATCCATTTTACATGCATCCATTCATTACTTTTAATTGATTATATTACAGTTAACTTAAGCCTAATTCTTTTTCTTTAAGGTCCCCCCAGTTTTAGAGAGGCGTGAACATAATTAGCTTTTTTCCTTTAATAAAAATGCATGATGTGCTGTAGCATACACCAGAGCGTCTACTTTTCAGTCAGGCAACACAGACTCCGAGCTGCTTTTGTTTTTGGTCCCTGGAGGTGTATATGACAAGTTGACAAACAGAAAGGTGAAGACCCTGCTCCACCCAGTATAGAGTCCTCTTTTCTTTGGTGTCTCATGGAAACCTATTAACATGCCTTTCACATAAGTCTCTACATATAAAACTATCAGGCATTATGAATTTGCAGTACAGTCACTTTGATAAAGTTGCTTTTTTATCTTCAAAGTGGAAAAGTCCTGCTAATCAAAATGGAATTGTGAATTAAAGTAGGCCACTGGCTTAAGTATCAGGTAGAAAATCAACAGCTTATTTTTTCTGCTCAGTTTGTGCTAACACTGATGGTCTGCTTGAGGAATGCTGAGAATGCCAAGGGTAGGACTTTAGTACCTAGGTAGGTACCCATCTCTTAAGAGATCCAGGTTTCTGGCATGGTCCTGGCTGCATTGAGACCACTTGGCACATGTTAACTGACACAAGGCTTTGATTGTTTCACAGCAGAATAAAGGTGAAAACTATCACCAGAGTTACAGCAATCCATACAGAAGTCTTTTACCTGTAAATGCCTTTCCCAATGGAGAATCAACAGATTGGGTGATGGTGGAGTAGGTCAGGAAGATTCATGTCTTCTAGAGGAAAGGATGCATCACCCCTTGGGCTCAGGCAGCTGCTGTCAGAGAATGACACAGCACCTGCACAGTCGCTGTCCACTTCCTGCCACTGCTGTTGGTGGGGTGACGGGAGCAAAGTAGGCGTGGACTTTGACATGAGGGAGCTGAGCCTGAAAGGATAAAGAAAGTTTTTACACTGGTATTTTTAGGATTATGGTCATAATTCTAGAAAAGCCTATAGTCCATTAAAAATCACCTTAAGTCCGTTCAAATAGAATTTATGCTATAGATGAGAGCTACTCCTGTTACTCCCCCTGTCCTCTGCCCCCCAATAGTACCTTCTAAGAATAAGTGAAAACACTTGAGTTGATATACATTGATATATTTCCACCCAGGGGTAGTAACCAGCCCTGTTTGCAGACTAAGTGAATGTTCTCTACAGCTGTAGCACCCTGGATGGGGCTGTTTTGGGACATAAACACAGTTGCCTAAACTTAAAGCATAATCAAGAATGTAGGTGAGGCCGGGTGCAGTGGCTCATGCCTGTAATGGGAGGCCGAGGCAGGTGGATCATGAGGTCAGGAGTTCAAGACCAGCCTGGCCAAGATGGTGAAACCCCATCTCTACTAAAAATACTAAAGTTAGTCAGCGTTGTGGCTCACGCCTGTAATCCAGCTACTCAGGTGGCTGAGGCAGGAGAACTGCTTGAACCCAGGAGGTGGAGGTTGCAGTGAGCTGAGATCATGCCACTGCACTCCAGCCTGAGCAACAGAGCGAGACTGTCTCAAAAAAAAAAAAAAAAGCCAAATTCCATTAAGCCCTCTTACCTGCAACTTAGCCAAGATAGTTCTACCTCCTACTCATAATGACCTTAAATTGCTTAACTGCTTGCCTTTAACATAGGCTTTTTTTTTTTTTGGCTCTTACCCCCATGCTGGAGTGCAGTGGTGCAGTTTTGTCTCACTGCAACCTCTGCCTCCCAGGTTCAAGAGACTCTCCTGCCTCAGCCTCCTGAGAAGGCAGCAACCATGCACAGCTGATTTTTGTATTTTTAGTAAAGATGGGGTTTCACTGTTTTGGTCAGGCTGGTTCGGAACTCCTGACCTCATGATCTGCCTGCCTTAGCCTCCCAAAGTGCTGGGATTACAGGATGAGCCACCACGCCTGGCCCAACATAGGCTTTCTTATAAGGGCTCTGATCACCAGACTATGTGAAATCTCCACCCAGACCAGACCTACTTTGGTTGAATCTTCCAGGGTGAAGTCTAAGTGAGAAGATTTTGAGGATGTCTAAGGTGACACTATTAAACCAGATCAGTCTGCATAACGGAAAATGGATTTTTTTGTTTTTGTTTTTGAGATAGAGTCTCACTCTATGGCCCAGGCTGCAGTGTGGTGGTGCAATCTGTGCAATGTCTGACTCCCAGATTCGTGATTCTCCTGCCTCAGCCTCCCAAGTAGCTGGGATTACAGGTGCCCACCACCACGCCTGGCTAATTTTTGTATTTTTAAACAGAAATGGGGTTTCACCATTTTGGCCAGGCTGGTCTTTTCTGACCTCAAATGACTTACCTACCTTGGCTTTGTAGGGGATTATAGGCATGAGCCACTGTACCTGGCCTGATTCTCGATGTTTTCATTTGTTGCTTAGAAATGTCAGGTGTGACTGACTCCCCTGCCCCACACCTACCCGCATCCGCTTGATGCCTGCACGGGTAACCTGCTGGCAGTCATACAGCTCAAGGCGCTCCAGGCCTCGGCAGTTCTCTAGGTGTTCCAGGGCCACATCAGTGATGAGGAGGCAGTTGTCCAGCTCCAGTACCCGCAACCTCTCATGGCCACAGGTGCTGTTGCTCAGGTGCAGGATCCCATCGTCTGTGATGAGTTCACAGTGGGACAGGCTCTGGAATAGGGAGAAATGAGTAAATGTTTGCAGGACCCTTGTTCCAAGGCTCAAGTCCTAAAAAAAAAAAAAAAAAAAGCTGGAAGCTAGCCTTTTTGCCCTTCTGCCATGGGATGACACAGCAAGAATGCCCTCAGCAGATGCCAGCCCCTGGACTTTAGAATTATAAGAAGTTTCTGTTCATTACAAATTATCCAGTCTGTGGTAGCAGCACAAAACAGACAGGACCAAACATAGCATTGGAGCCCTTTGGTCATGGGTTTGCTGCACTGGGAGTGGCTTCTTTCTTCTAATTGTGTAAAGATGGAAATAAAATTTTCAGGGGAAATTTCAGAGTTTGCCCCCTTGAGAGCCATTTTATTGGCCAGTTCTCCATCTGAGGGGATGCCAGTGAAATCAATGCATCTCATGTCCTTGTTCATTTAGAAAATTGCACTAACAGCTGTGACCCAGAGTTGTCTTGAACCCTCTGCAACGTGTTTAAATCAAATACACCTTGAACAGTGTGATCCAACGTTACTAACTTACCTTGGTCGCAGAAGACAAATTCAGATAATATTATATAGCCAAATGACGTTTGTGTAATTCCCTTTAAGTTCTCCACATCAAAAAGTTTCAGACCTGACAGTTTTCCCCAATGCATATCAAATGTAAGATTCACCCCACCATGAAAACGAGAGAGGCAGAAATAGTGCATCGACATCCCATTTGTTCATTTGTTCTTTCAAATATATGAGCCCCAATTCTGTCCCAGCCCCCGTGTGTGCAATCATGAGGAAAAGTATACTTTTCTGCACTGGTGGAGCCCAGACTGGAGAGTCTAGAAAATCAAATAATGCTAATTAAGCTTTAAACTGAAGCTGAGGTGCTTTGAGAGCATATGATAGCAGTATTTGTCCTGAGAAGGAGACCACTGAGTTGATATTTGAAGGGTTAGGAGCTAATCCTAGGAAAGAGCAAAAGTTTGTTGTGTGCAAGGCCCAGGGGAGCAGGAGAATGGCAAGCACTGTGTTTAGGAAGAAGATCCACATCTAATAAGTGGGAAGTAAGAGGACGCATGTAGATGCAGATGGAATTGGGGAGGTAAAAGCCAGATCACTGAGTTGTGTAGATTACGTCGTTCTGATTCCAAGGTCAGTGGGAAGAGCTGTAAAGACAGTGGGATGTTAACAATTGCTCTTCAAAAAAGATGGAAAATAAATGTTGGTGAGGATGTGGAGCAGCTGTAAGTCTTATAGGCTGCAGGGGTTATTTCGATGTTTCTGAGTGAAATGCATACATGTGTTAACCAAAAACATAGGAATACTGGCTGGAATAGCCCAAACTAGATGCAGTACTCAAATATTCAGAAGTAGAAAGGATAAAGAAATCACAGTGTATCCATTCTGTAAAGCAAAGAGAATGAATAATACACAACTACATGTGACAATATGGATAAGGAAACCAGATGAGTATACACCGTTCCATTCATATCATTTAAATAAAATATAAAAAGAGGTAAAACTAATATATGCTATTTGGAAGTCATGACTTCTGAAGGATCAGTGATTGAAAGGGAGCAGAAAGGGGCTTTCCAGGGTCAGAATAATGTTGACCTTTGATCAGGGTGTATTCAGTTTATGGAACTGCATTGGTCTATACACCAATGAAAATGTACTTTTCTGCATGTATATTTTACTTCAGTAAAGTTAAAACTGAAAATATAAACCACTCTGACAAATTTTTTTAGTGCAGAAGTGGATTCAGTTTAGAGCAAGTGAATGGCTGCTGCAGTCTAGGAGCAAGGAGATGCCTGAGAGTTCGGACTGGACCAGTCCTGGTGGGGAGACCTGAGTGGACGGTATAAGGTACTCCTGAAAACTAAAAAATCCGAGACATGGTAATGCCGGTTGTAACAGCCCCAAACTAGAAACTACTACTAGAAACTAGAACCTTTGGCTCTGTGAACTAGGCAGCAGCATACAACCTTGAGGGAAGGGAAGCTAGAGGAGAGAAACTGTTGGAACTTGATGCTTCAAAGATTCTTCTCTGAGCTTGATCTTAACAATATGGAATATTTTTACTTTCTCACGAATTGAATCCCTCCACATAACATCAAATGGCATTTATGTACTCAATGCTGTTATTTGGTTATTGACTTATGAGTAAAGCTAGAACTTCATTACGGTTCTTTAGGAGGCTGTTTAAAATTGGGAAATAAAAAAATAGAATTTTGATTATAATAAAATAGAACCAGAAAAAAGTGTCTCCCTGTGTATGTATATATTTCATTTATTTTTATTTTTGAGATGGAGTTTCACTCTTGTTGCCCAGGCTGGAGTGCAATGGCGCAATCTTGGCTCACCGCAACCTCCACCTCCTGGGTTCAAGCAATTCTTCTGCCTCAGCCTCCCAAGTAGCTGGGATTATAGGCATGCGCCACCACAGCAGTTAATTTTGTATTTTTAGTAGAGTTGGAGTTTCTCCATGTTGGTCATACTGGTCTCGAACTCCTGACGCAGGTGATCCTCCCGCCTCAGCCTTCCAAAGTGCTGGGATTACAGGCATGAGCCATCTTGCTGGGCCTATTTCATTTTATTTACATATAGATTCATACATACATATATGTATATTTATAAACACAGATTGGAGAAAGAGGATGATGGAGATGGTATATGAATGCCAATTTCTCCATTGTTTTGATACAGGGAAATTCAGAAATCAAGAAGTTAGCAGTAATATTATGAGACTTAGGAGATACTGTTATATTAATTGAAAAATTTGTGCTTCAGGTGTGGCGGCTCACACCTGTAATCCCAGCACTTTGGGAGGCAGAGGTGGGTGGATTGTATTCAGGAGTTCAAGACCAGCCTGGCTAACATGGTGAAACCCCATCTCTACTAAAGAAATACAAAAATTAGCCGGGCGCAGTAGTGGGCGCCTATAATCCCAGCTACGTAGAAGGCTGAGGCAGAAGAATAGTTTGAACCCAGGAGGTGGAGTTTGCAGTGAGCCAAGATTGCGCCAGTGTACTCTAGCCTGGGTGACAGAGGAAGACTCAAAAAAAACTTAGGTACTGGCCCGTGCAAGTATACATAGAAATTTTAAAAACTGATTGAAGGAAAATCAGAGGGTGCTTGACCTGTTCCTACAGCAGCGAGGCTTCTATTAACACTAACAACATAGCCAGTCGTCACAGCTGTCTGGTTCGGGCCAATTCTGTAGAGAAGGTGTTGTTACTCCCTTTTTAAGATGACAGCATTGTGGCTCAAAACTGTTGGGACTTGCCAGTTGTACCCAGCTCAGGCCAGCCTTAAAGCTTTTTCTCCTGTCATACACTGCCACTTATCCCTGGCAGCGAAGCACTCTCGAGGCGAGCCGCTTATATAACATTTCTGACTTGGAGGGGGTTAAGTTGGTGGGACAGAGCTTGCAGAATGGGAGGTGGAAATGCTTTTAACTCCCATCAGCAGGTGTCTTCTGCTCCCGTGGATGTGGTGTGGATGTGTGTACATGAAAGAGACAGGGAGGAGAGGGACAGAGAAAGAGAATCACTTTTCTTTGCACAAAGAATTTCTTGAGGACAGAAATTGGCCATAGTGGTTATCCCTGTGTAGGCAACACGGCAACTGGGCATTTTTCTCTTATATTCCTGGTACTTTTTAAAATAACATTTTTGTCTTTTGAATTTTGTCAAGTTCTTTTTCTGCATTAGTTGATGTGATCATGTAACTTTTCTTCTTTAGTTAACATGGTTGATTCCATCAGTCAGTTTTCAAATATTACACTAGACTTGTGTCTCTGGACTAAACCTTGGTTGGCCATGGTGTTATAATTATTTCTATATGTCGCTACATTCTATTTGCCAATATTTTGTTATAGATATTTGCTTCTATATTTATGAGGAATATCAGTCTGTAGGGCTTTTTTTGGTACAATTTTGTTTGGTTTTGATAAGACTTGGCCTCATTAAAAAAAAAAAAGTTGTTTTGGGAGGTCAAGGCAGGTAGATCACTTGAGGCCAGGAGTTAAAGACCAGCCAGGCCAACATGGTGAAACCCCATCTCTACTAAAAATACAAAAATAGCTGGGCATGGTGGTGCACGCCTGTAATCCCAGGTACTCGGGAGGCTGATGCAGGTGAACAGCTTGAACCCAGGAGGTAGGGATGGTAGTAAGCCAGGACTGAGCCACCGCAGTCCAGCCTGGGTGACAGAGCAAGACTCTGTCTCAAAAACATAAAATAAAAAAGAGTTATAAAGTGTTTTATTGTCTATTTTCTAAAAGAGTGTATAGAACTGATGTTAATTCATGCCAGGCACAGTGGTTCATACCTGTAATCCCAGCATTTTGGGAGGTCAAAGAGGCAGGCAGATCATTTGAAGTCAGGAGTTTGAGACCAGCCTGGCCAGCATGGTTGAAACCCTGTCTCTACCAAAAATACAAAAATTAGCCAGGTGTGGTGGCACATGTCTGTAATCCCAGCTACTCACAAGACTGAGGCAGGAGAATCGCTTGAACCTGGGAGGTGGAGGTTGCAGTGAGCTGAGATCGTGCCACTGCACTTGTGTCTCAAAAAAAATTTTAAAAAAAGATGTTAATTTCCTAAATGTTTGGTAGAATTCTCCAATGAAACCACTGGATCTGGACATTTTTGAGGGGGAATCTTAAAACTATACATTCAGTGAAAGCAGTAATCATTTAGGGACCTTGCCTCCCAAGTTAGCCCAGATCTATTGATCTTTGAAATCAACAGAGATGACACCTTACAGAAAGAGAACCCAAACAGCTTCTTGCTGTGGTAGGAGGGCTTCTACCTCTAACAGGTGAATAAGGTCACAGAAACTCAGACTCACCAGGGCTTGCAGTTTGGGACAGTGAATGGAGAGCTGGATGAGCGTGCTGTCGGTTATCTGGAGAGAAACACGCTGTGTCAGTGTGGCTTCCACACCAGAACTTAATACCTAATCCTGGCTTCTCCTGAACATGAGAATCAAAAGGTGTAAAAGAGAATTAAAAACTCATCTCAAACACTCCGAGGCTGGGAGCTCCTCTCTTCACCAGCGCTTCTAGAGATGCAAAACTGTTCTTTGGTCTTTCTTCTGGTGCCGAAGGGGGTTTAGGGCAAGGGACAAAGAGGGAGTGGGCAAGGAGCATTCCCAGGACTCTCCTCTTTGGAGTCGCCCCATCACTGGGCATGCAAGCTTATTTTATGGAGCTATGCTGTTCTCTTCTGTAGTTCAGTCTGATGACTGAGAGGAGCCACAAGCTCACACATCCACTGCCACGGCCTTACACGTTTCCAAGCCCTGCCACCCAAGCTGATCCAGGAGGCTTGGGATGTCTCTGGGTGGGCTGCACCAGCCGACAGAGACTGGGGAGCAGGCTGCCCTGCAGGGCTGTCAAGAGTCCACTCACCAGGATGCATTCTTCAAGATCCATCTTCTCCAATTCGTGGCAATTCTGGAAGAGTCCACAAGACATACCCCTCATGTGAGCCAGTGGTGAGGGCAACAATGGTGGCTTGCCCTGTCCCTCTGAGTACTGGCCCAGTGAACTTTATTCTCATCCATTAAGAAGTATGCTCTGTTTCTAAAGCCACTCAGTAAACAAGAACTTCTGAGCAGCTTTCTTTTGAACCACAGTGCTTTGGAACTGGGAATAGGGCTGCCTCTGGCTGCATTTCCTTCTCTCAGCCAGGAAAGAGAGTTGTCTGCAACCATCCCAGTGCTCGCAGATATCAGTGGGGATATTTTAGCCACAGACCTAGCTCTGAGAGGGCCTGGAGATGCGTGGCACTAACCCACACTGGGGGGGTTGGGTGGAGGTGGCAGAGTGCATCAACAGCCCCAGGAAGACATGGGCTCCTGGCAGCAGGTCCAGAGGGGTCCCCAGTGGTCAGCATTCGCAGGGCAAAGGGCAGAGTACAGCCCAGTTAGGGGGCATTGCTGAGAGGCCACATTGGGGCCCATATGAGGAAATGAGTCTCCTGCCAGGAGGAGGCTTGTCCCACTTGACCCACCTGACCAAGCGTGAGCCCAGACCCTTAACAGAACCCTCTACAGGACGTCCCTAGATTTCTGGCTAACTGGAAAAACTGCAGTGCGCACCCTGGGGGCTCAGCCTACTTTGTGCCTGTCTTTTCTGAAGGTAATTTTTTGCACACCCAAAACCACTCCAAGTCACTTGGAATTCGGGAGGTGAATTACAGTTTGGTTCTATTCTTTATGCCTTACCCGAGCTAAAAGTGTAAAACCTGCGTCAGTCAAGTGGGAGCATCGGGCAGCCTCCAAAATTCTGGGGAGAAAGTATACAGGGGAGAAAAAGGTACCAGCTAGTGAATGATGGAAACACACACTTTATGATGTACACGCGAGTCTTTTCTGCTCTTTGACATGCTCTAGCTTCCGTTAACAGCCCTTAGGGAATGTGACCTGCCCAAGGCCCCACAGTTCCATTCCAAACTTCAGAGTAAATCTAGGAATCTTCCTGCATGTTGTTTTTAAATATCATTCTAATATTTGTGGGGTTTTTTTTTTTTTTTTCTGAAATGGAGTCTCACACTGCCGCCCAGGCTGGAATGCAATGGCAGGATCTCGGCTCACTGCAGCCTCTGCCTTCCAGGTTCAAGCGATTCTCCTGCCTCAGCCTCCCAAGTAGCTAGGACTGCAGGTACCTGCCACCATGCCCAGCTGATTTTTGTATTTTTAGTAGAAAAGGGGTTTCATCATATAGGCCAGGCTGGTCTCAAACTCCTGATCTTAGGTGATCCACCCACCTCAGCCTCCCAAAGTGCTGGGATTACTGGCATGAGCCACTGCGCCCAGCCTTGTTCACTTTTTAAACACATTTAAGATGAGCTTTTTCTCAATAAAATCATCTTGAGATTTACTGCATTTATGGAAATTCTCAGGTACCCTAAAGGAAATTTAAAAAATTTGTAGACAATGAAAAATAAGTGAATTGTCAGTTACCCGTGCTTAATAGGGATGGATGCATGACTGACATTTCTAAGGTAAATACTCCCTTACTGCAGTAATTCTGACCTCCTTTCTGACCAATTTTGATCATCCAAATTCCTCCTACTAAGCCGAAATATCTAAATGATATAGAACCTTCTCTATAACAGTAAAAAAAAAAAAATTGGTAAAAGGAGAAATACATAGTTCTAAGATACAGAACTGATGTGAGCATGGGAATGGGCCAGTTTCAATGGAAAGTAGAGATTTTTCAAAAGTGTCTTTCCTTTTGGTTCGGCACGGTGGCTCACACCCGTAACCTCGGCACTTTGGGAGGCTGAGGCGGGCGGATCACCTGAGGTCGGGAGGTCAGGAACCAGCCTGACCAACATGGAGAAATCCCGTCTCTACTAAAAATACAAAATTAGTTGGGTGTGGTGGCGCATGCCTGTAGTCCCAGCTAACTCTGAAGGCTGAGGCAGGAGAATCGCTTGAACCCGGGAGTCGTAGGTTGCGGTGAGCCGAGATGGCACCACTGCACTCCAGCCTGGGCAACAGTAGTGAAACTCTGTCTCAAAAAAAAAAAAGTATCATTTTTTTCTGCCTCTTGGGTAGAGTTTAAGGTTGCTGATTCTGAGGTCAAACTATTGTTGCTACTATTGTTAAGATTTTAATATTCATAGCTGGTAATGAGAATCTATTACCTTGAGGATCAGAATATAAATTATCTGTTTTTTGAGATGGGGTCTCACTCTGTTGCCCACACTGGAGCGCAGTGGCATGATCTTTCACTTCAACCTCTGCCTCCTGGGTTCAAGTGATTCTCCTACCTCAGACTCCTAAGTAGCTGGAATTACAGGCGCCTGCCACCACACCCAGCTAATTTTTGTATTTTTAGTAGAGATGGGGTTTCACCATGTTGGCCAGGCTGGTATCGAACTCCTGACCTCAGGTTATCCGCCCACCTTAGCCTCCCAAAGTGCTGGGATTACAGGCGTGAGCCACCGTGGCCAGCCTAAATTATTATTTGTTAAAAACAAACCCTTTTTCCCTACTGGGGAAGAAGCTAAGTAAGAAGGCGATTGTGACCTTCCCTCTATTCTGTCCGTCTGGCAGCAGGTCTAGAGGAGAAGCTCATGTCCTTTGTATGTGAGGCTATTGCTCTGCTCACTATGTGCTCAGTCGGATGCTTAAAGAACTACCAGGATGAGGTGAACATCCAGCAAGAAAGTAAGGTTTGGATCCACTTGTACACGTTACACTCTCCCAGTACATCCCGCAGTGAACTGGATTTACACACTGTCCCACCCCATTTACCCAACAAAAGCCAGCAACACACAACTGCTGCCTCCACCACCACTACCTGGCAAGCCTGTCCTCCCCTGCCGGAAGCCCTCTTGGTTAACTCAGCCAAACTCTGAGCTGCAAAGCAAAAAGCGCGGTGTACTCACTGCAGTCGCGGGCAGTTCAGACCCAGGGCTGTAAGGGAGGCATCTGTGAGGTTGCTGCAACCCGAGAGGCAGAGGGCCTGCAGCCGGTGACAGCCCCTGCACACCTGCACCACACCTTCATCCGTGATGCGCTGCGGAAAGAAGAGCCACAGGACGACCGCGGCGCTCAAACAGGAGCAGCAGGAAAAGACCTGCGGCTGTTCAATTGATTTCGGGGATTACTGGCATTTTATCCAAATAACTTCAACGAAGTAAGCAGAGGGCAGACACGTGCTTGTGTTATCTCTGCAGCTTTAAAATATTCCAGCCATTTTAGATAAGATACATGCATCCAGGAAAAAGTAAGATCTTCTGTTATTACGAATGGAGAATCAAAGTTTAAAATTCCATTTCTCCCTCGCTAGAGTCATCAAAATATAGATTTTTCATAAAATTCATAAATGCATAATTTTATAATCTGATTAAAGAACTTATGAGACTTTCCTGGTTTAGGTGACATATTAATATCTGGTTGGATTTCTGCGGACTAATGCTTTAGATATTTATAATATACACATGTATATTTCATCAAACGTTTTAGACAATAGGAAAATTAAATCACGAAATTACTAATACCTTAGAATTTTATAAATTTGGCCATGAAGATTCAAAATAGTATGTTCACTTAAACAAACTAATCGATACAGTAATACACAGGCACATCCGTACTAGACTTCAAGCCATCTGCCAGGGCTGTCCTACACATAAGTCAAGGTCCTATTTTTGAATAGTCCAGGTTATAAGGTCAAGATTTGTCCAGAAGATAGTTTCTGGTTTTTTCCCACCATCAGAGACTCTAAAGATTTAGAATATATTCATTTAAAGCTGAATGCAAGGGTTTCCCTTACCTTTCTCAAAATCTATGTTCCCTTGAAAAACCTGTTAGGTTGTAGCATCCTCTTACCAATATTTGCACTGGCAGTGGGGAAGGACCAGCAAGTTCTGATAGGCTAATATCCTGATGAAAACACCACCTTGCTCTTGCATATTTATGCATTTTATTTTTTTATTATTTTTTAACCAGGGGAAAGTGTGAACGCAGTCCCCACTACCACAAATTATGCAGTCGAGTTTCCCACATCTGGGGAAATCGCAGGGGTCAGCACATCCGGAGGGCAATGGAAAAGCCTCGCCCTGGGAAAACCACCTTCGTGACCATGGTCTCTCCCCTGCCAGATGCGTTTTATTTGAAAGCATTTTCACATGTGTTATTTCATTTTATCCACCGAAACAACGTGAGAGGAGTCATCATTCTCAATTTATAAGTTAAAAAGAAAAAGATGCTGAGACCTTATCATGAATTGTTCAGGTCTTACAACTATTTAGTGACCAGTTCACAGCATTCCTCGACAGTGTCCCTAATACTCGATTCAACAAAATCACAGCTGGTCTATGTTATTTTTAGGGGCGATGTCAGTGACTTCATATTGAGGATGATTCCTTTTGGTTGCTGCTGCTCTTCCATCTTGTGACAAATTGGTAGGTCATATAAGGGCTCAGGATGAAAAATCCGGGTGTGGCAACACAGCCCGTCTCAGCTGCCTGGGGGGCTGCAGGGAGGCTCGGGGCACACTGCTTTGGGAGAGCCTAGAGCAGATGGTGTTGAGAAAAGGCATGCCACTTACTGAGCAGGACTGTAGGTTGAGGCTCACGAGCTCATGGCAGTAATTCTGAATGTGTTTCAGAGCTTCATCTTCTAACTGAGTGGACAGAGAAAACAAAAGACAGCTGGAATCCAGGTGAGGGAACAGTGGGACACCAAGAAAAATGCAAAACCAACTTCCCTGACGATGTGCCCACCCCGACATGTAACACAAACAGCTGTATCTACGCTCTGGTACCTGTGTGCAGCCCCTCAGGAGCAGGGCTTTCAGGCCTCGACAACCTCGCACCAGTGCCTCGATGCCATCCTTTGTGATCTGGTCACACCAAGAGAGGTTCAGGTATTCCAGGTTTCGGCAGCCCTCACTGAGAGAACAAGAAACGAAAACTGAAGTGCAGTCTCTCCTGTAGAGAGTTAATTACTAACTCTGAGTTTACTACGTCACAAGAAATTCAGAGACCATGCCTGGGACCTCTTGGAGTCACCTATTTCTCACTTCAATGTGACAATTAGGAAGGCTTCCAGAATGTTCATAGCTTTGGGTATTTCTCTTGACCACAAACAATGGGCACTCCTACCTGATCCCCTTCAAGGAGCTGTTTGTAATAGACACACAGGAGGTCAGATCCAGATGCTTCAGCTTGGAACAGAATCTGCTAAGGCTATAACACGTGCTGAAAAAGAGCAGATGCACTAAAGATATTTTCAACCATGTTTCTCTCCCTTCACTCTCCCCATGGCTATTTAGTCACCAATTACTCTTCATTACTTACCTGTCAGTGATTTTTGTGCATCCATTGAGGTTTAAATGTTCAATGTTTCGGCAGTTCTGTGCAAAGGTCCTAAAATGAGAAAACATTTTAAAGCTCCCTGCAAGTTGCTGGACAACCACTAGAGGGCACATGAAACCATTGACGTTTAGAACAGCGTTCCCTCAAACTTTAAAGCATGGAAGAATCAGCTAGGGTTTTTGTCACAGTGCAGATTCTGACGGCAGATCTAGACTGGAGCTTGACAGTCTGCAGTTCAAGGAAAACCCCAGGCGATGCCACTGCCGCCAGTCTGGGGATCACAGTTTGAGAAGCAGAGTCCTAGACTGACTACCTATCAATCAGTTCTCCTTCACCCACAGCTCGGTGTCATCACCAAATCGTGAGAATAGAGGCCTAGCTCCCGGCTCCCTCTGCTCTACAGAAAAATCATTTTGAAGCAAGGGGGCAAACCTTGTACTGTGCCATGCTGTCACTTGCTTACCCTAGAGCCTTTCCAGAGAAACCATCTCTGGCAATTGATAGAAGTCAGCAGTCAATCAGTATCAAGACCCACTGATTTTACTGGTGAGGACACTCAGTCATGAAGAGAAACTTCCTCATTGATCTGTGGGGTTGGTAGCAAGGTCAGAAGCAGCAAATTAAAACCCCCTATTCAGCACTCAGTGCTAACACATTCAGCAAGGACTAGCTCAAGTCATCATCAATCTGAAATACAGTTTTGACATATGGGATGGAGTCCTGACCCTTTCATGCTATACCCCAAAGCCATCAAAACCTAACCTTACCCTTATTTGCTCCTTCCAACCTGCCCTGGTACAGGGAGGGGGAACCAAGCTGGAGCCCGATGGACTGTCTGAGATGAAGAGATGGGGCCGAGAGTCTAGGAAGACCAAGGCAGCTGGAGTTATCTCGCAAGAGCATGAGAGTGGAGAGAATGTCACAAAAACTACAGAGATCTGTGGAGGGTGCTCTTCAAGACTTAAGTACAGGCCAGGCGCAACGGCTCACGCCTGTAATCCGAGGACTTTGGGAGACCAAAGCAGGAGGATTACAGGAGGATTACCTCACCAGCCGAGGCAACACGGTGAGAGTCTATCTCCAAAACGACGACGACGACAAGAATTTAGTCCCACAGCTCAGTGTATGCATGTGATGAAACTGCCCAAAGCCCAGGGCCACGGAATAAGAATCAGCAAAAGGCGTTAAAGCAAACAGCAGCCAGAAATCACCCGGGGCAAGGAATCGTGTCCGTTTCTACCAAGACAGAGTGAAAAACGCCACATTTCTTGGGGGCATAGGGTAGAGTATTGAGAACGGTCTTCCTTTAGGAGTGGAGTACAATTAGCTCTAAACACTGCTTTGATACAACCTAACAAATCTTAAAAACAAGAACTAACAGGAACTATTCCCAATGAACTCAACTGTATCCCAGAACAAAACCCAAGAGTATTTACAGGAATACAAAAATATCTGCACGCAACAAAGTAAAATTCACAATGTCTCGAATTGAACAAAAAATTATGTTTTCAAAGGAGGAGGAAAATATATCCATAATAAAAAGAAAATGTAATCTACTAAAACCGACTCTAAACTGACACAAATAGCAGAAAGAACGAAGACATTAAAAGCTATAATGTTATTGCCTAGACTATATTTCTATGAAGCTAACAAATAAACAGGTTATGTAGACACATGGAAAAATAAGAGATCCAAGTTAAACTTTTAGATATGAAAACCAGCCAGGTGCAGTGGCTCATGCCTGTAATGCCAGCACTTTGAGAGGCCGAGGCAGGCAGATCAGCTGAGGTCAAAAGTTCAAGACCAGCCTGGCCAACATGGTGAAACCCTGTCTCTACTAAAAAAATAAAAAATAAAAAAAAATTAGCTGGTGTGGTGGCATGTGCCTGTAGTTCCAGTTACTCAGGAGACTAAGGCAGGAGAATCACTTGAGCCCAGGAGGTGGAGGTTGCAGTGAGCCAAGATTGCACCACTGCACTCCAGCCTGGGCCACAGAGCAAGACTCCATCTTGGGGAAAAAAAAAAAAAAAAAAAAAAGATAAGAAAACCACAATGACTGAAATAATACTTTACTGGATGAAATTAATAACAGATTATATACGGCAGAAGAAAAGATTAGTGAAGTTGAAGACGTAACAATAGCAACTATCAAAAATGAAACACAGAGGGGAAGAAAAGAGAAAAAGGGCCGGGCATGGTGGCTCACGCTTGTAATCCCAGCACTTTGGGAGGCTGAGGCGGGTGGATCACAAGGTCAAGAGATCGAAACCATCCTGGTCAACATGGTGAAACCCCGTCTCTACTAAAAATACAAAAAATTAGCTGGGACCTGTCTCAAAAAATAAAATAAAATAAATAAATTTTAAAAAAGAGAAAGAAGAACAGAGCATGAATAAATTGTGGGACAACTTCAAGCAACCTAATATACATGTGACTGGAATCACTAATTAAGAGGAGACATAGGAAGGAGGAAAAAATACTGAAGAGATAATTGCCAAAATGTTCCCAAACTTTATGAAAACAATAAACCCAGAGACCCAAGGAACCCAAAGAACCACAAGTACAAGCAACATGAAGAAAAACACACCGAGGCATGTCATAACCAAACTGATTTAAACTAGTGGCAGATTAGCCATGTGTGGTAGCATATGCCTATGGTCCCAGCCATTTGGAAGGCTGAGGTCAGAGGATCACTTGAGCTCAGGAGGTGGAGGTGACAGTGAGCTGAGATTGTGCCATGCATTCCATCCAGGATGACAGAGTGAGACTCCATTGAGAGAAAGAGAGAGAAACCAGTGATAGAGAAAACCCTAAAATCAGCCAGAGAACAAAGCCATGTTATATAAAGAGAAAAAAACATAAGGGTGACAGCAGATTTCTCACTGGTAATGAAAAAGCAAGAAAACAGAGGGGCACCATCCTTAAAATACTGAAAACAAAAAATGGTCACTATAGAATTCTATACTCAGCAAAAGGATTCTTTTTAGGTGAAGGAAAAAATGGATTTTTTTAGACATAGAGGAGCTGAATGAATTAATCAGACTTGCAGTAAAAGAAATGTAAAAAAATTTCTTTAGGTAGAAAGAAAATGACACCAGATTTTAAAAATGTGTCTACAGAAAAGAATGACTGGACATATTAACTACTTGGGTATATACAATTTTTAAATTTAAGTATCTTAAAAATAGGCTGGGCACTGTGACTCATGCCTGTAATCCCAACACTTTGGGAGGCTGAGGTGGGCAGACCCTTTGAGGCCAGGAGTTTGAGACCAGCCTGGCCAACAAGGTAAAACCCTGTCTTTACCAAAAGCACAAAAATTAGCCAGGTGGGGTGGTACAGGCCTGTAGTCTCAGCTACTTTGGGAGACTGAGGCACAAGAATCGTTTGAACCCAGGAGGCAGGAGTTATAGTAAGCGTAGATCAAGCCATTGCACTCCAGCCTTACTGACAGAGTGAGACTCTGTCTCGAAATAAATAAATAAAAATAACTAAATAAATACCTTATAACTTACTGTTAAACAAAAATACTACATCTATTATGGAGTTTATGAAAGTAGAATTAAAATGTATGACAACAATAGCATAAAGACCGAGTGAGAAGAAACGGCAGTGTTATGTAATACAATATGAAGGCAGACGGTCGTAAACTAAAGATGTATTCAATAAACTCTAAAACAATGACTAAACAGATGAAGAGTTATAGAAACTAAGCTAAAAAAGAATATAAAATGAAATCATAAAAAATACTTAATCTCAGCCAGGCATGGTGGCTCACACCTGTAATCCCAGCACTTTGGGAGGCCAAGGTGGGCAGATCACTTGAGGTCAGGAGTTTGAGACCAGCCTGGGCAACAGGGTGAAACCTCATCTCTACTAAAAATACACAACTTAGCCAGGCATAGTGACGCATGTCTGTAGTCCCAGCTACTTGGGAGGCTGAGGCACAAGAATCGCTTCAACCTGGGAGGTGGAGGCTGCAGTGAGTTGAGATTGTGCCACACTGCACTCCAGCCTGGGCAACAGAGCAAGACCTTGTCTCAAAAAAAAAAAAAAAAAAAAAAAAAAAAAAAAAAAAAAAATCTAAAAGAAGAAAGAAAAAGAGGAAAGGGGAAAAAAATGTATGGGACAAACAGAAAACAAAAGCAAAAGGGTAGATTTAACCCTAACCATAATAATCATATTAAATGCAAACGGTCTAACCCAAAGTGAAAAGCAGAGATTGTCATATTGGAGAAAAAGCAACACCCAGCCGGGCACAGTGGCCCACGCCTATATCCTAGCACTTCTGGAGGCCAAGGCAGGCGGATCATGAGCTCAGAAGATCAAGACCATCCTGGCACACAGTGAAACCCCATCTCTACTAAAAACACAAAAAAATTAGCCAGGCATGGTGGCACATGCCTGTAGTCCCAGCTAGTTGGGAAGCTGAAGCAGAAGTTGCTTGAACCTGGGAGGTGGAGGTTGCAGTGAGCCAAGATTGTGTCACTGCACTCCAGCCTGTGTGACAGAGCAAGAATTTGTCTCAAAAAAAAAAAAAAAAAAAAAAGCAACACCCAACTATATGCTGCCTATAAGAAATCAACTTTAAATATGGATACAAATAAAGTAAAACGATAGGAAAACTTATATAATGCCAACACTAGTTAAAAGAAAGCTGGAGTGACTATATCAGACAAAGACGATTTTACAGTAAAGAAAATTATCAGGGATAAAGGAGGACATATCAATAAAAAAGACATAGCATTCTAAGCGTCTATATGCACAATAACAGAGCTTCCAAACACAAGAAGCAAGACCTGATAGGACTGTGAGGAGAAATTAACAAATGCAAAATTATAGGCAGAGCTTTCAATACTCCTCTCTTATTAGTTGATAAATTAGTAGTCAAAAAATCAGTAAGAATACAGAAGATCTGCTCAACACTATCAACCAACCTGACCTACTGGTATTTATAGCACACTTCATCTACCAGTGGAATATACATTCTCTTCAAGTGTACAGGGACACTTGCCAAGAGAGACCACATTATTGGCCACAAAAAAAGTCTCAGTAAAATTAAAAGGATTCGGGGCATACAAACCATGTTCTGTGGCCACAACTGAATTCAATTAGAAATCAGTAACGTGCTCTTCTGGAAAATGTCCAAATATTTGGAAACTAAATAATATTGTTCTAAACAACCCATGGTTCAGGGAAGAAATCAAAAGGGGAATTAGAATGCATTTTGCATGAAAATGAAAACATAGCTTACACGAATTTTTGACATAAATTTTCCCCAAAGTATTTACTTAGTTTATGTCATGAAACTCCCATACTAGAAAAAAAGGTCTCAAATCAATGACTTGAGCTTCCATCTTAAGAAACCAGAGAAAAAACAAAAAAAATGAACTCCAAAGTAAGCAAAAGGAAGGAAATAAAGATCCGAGTGGGAATAAAAGAAGTAGAACACAGAAAAACAATGAAAAATGGGTGAAAACGAAAGCTGGTTCTTTGAGAATACCAATAAAATTGATAGACCTCTTAATAGCCAGACTGACAAGGACACACACACACACACACACACACACAGAAACAACAATTACCAATTTCAGAAATCAGAGAGGGGATATCACTGCAGATTTTATAGATATCAAAATGATAAGAGAATATTATAAACAACTTAATGCTAATAAATTCAAGAACTTAGGTGAAATGGACAAATTCCTTGAAAGACACAGACTACCAAAACTCATTTGCAAAGAAATAATCAGAAAAGTTCTATACATATTAAAGAAATTGAGGCCGGGTGTGGTGGCTCATGCCTGTAATCCCTGCACTTTGGGAGGCTGAGGCAGGCATATCACCTGAGGTTAGGAGTTCAAGACCAGGCTGGCCAACGTGGTGAAATCCTGTTTCTACTAAAAATACAAAAATTAGCCAGGCAATAATCCCAGCTACTTGGGAGGCTGAGGCAGGAGAATCGCTTGAGGCTGCAGTGGGCCAAGGCTGTACTGCTGAGGTCCAGCCTGGGCAACAAGAGTAAAACTCATCTTAAAAAAAAAAAAAGAAAAAGAAAATTGAATTTGTAATTAAAAACCTTTCCCTAAAAAAAATGTAGGAGCAGATGGCCTCAATAGTGAATTCTATAAAACATTTTTAAAAAAATACAAATTGTACAAAAACACTCCCAGAATTAAAAAAATTTTTTTTTTGATATTTTTTAGAGATAGGGTCTCTGTCATTCAGCTTGGAGTATGGTGGTATGATCATAGCTCACTGCAGCCTTGAACCCCTGGACTCAAGAGATCCTCCCACCTTAGCCTTCCAAACAGCTAGGACTACAGGCATGTACCACCACACCCAGCTATTTAATTTTTTTTTTTTAGAGATGTAGTCTTGTTGTGTTGCCCAGGCTGGTCTCAAAATCCTCAGCTCAAGTGATTCTCCCATCATGGCCTCCCAAAGCACTGGGATTATAGATGTCAGCCACTGAACACATCCCCAGAAATGTGAATAGGAGGAAATACTTCCCAATTCATTCCATGAAGCCAGTATTACCTTGATACCTAAACCAGAAAAAAGCATTATAAGAAAAGAAAATCATAAGACAATATTCCTTATGAGCACAAATGCAAATTATTTTTAACAAAACTGTAGCAAATAGGATTCAATAATATATAAAATATATAATACATGGCAATTCAAGTGGGCTTTATCTGAGTAATGGAAGGTTGTTTAAACATGTTTAAATGAGCCACTCTAATTCATGATCTTAACAAATGAAAAAGAAAAACCATATAATCATCTATGTTGATGGAGATAAAGCATGTGACAAAAATCTAACATCTCCAATTAAAAAAAAAAAAAACACTCAGCCAACTAGGAATAGAAGGTAATTGCCTCACTTTGATGATCATCTAGAAAAACATCTACAGCTAACGTCATAAAGGGATGCTCTCACTGTAAGATCGAGAAACTTGGCTAGTATATTTGCTTTCACCACTCTGTTCAATGTTGTACTAGAGATTCCAGCCAATACAATCTGGTAAAAAAGAAAGAAAAAAATGGCATCAACTGGAAACAAGGAAGAAAAACTATCTTTGTTTACAGGTAATATGAGTATGCAGAAAATCTAAAGGAATTTTTTAAAATAGCTATTAAAACTAACAAGTGAGTTTGTCAGGATTATAGGAGACAAGATCAATATACAAAAATCAACAATATTTCCATTTACTAGAAATGAATAATTGAAAAATACACTTATAACAGTATATCAAAATACTTGGTGATAATTATAAAAGATGTGCACAATCTGTACACTGAAAACTACAAAACATGCTGAGAGAAATTTTTAAAAACCTAAATATACAGAAAGATATACTATGTTCAAGGATTGGAAGTCTCAATATTGTTAAGATGTCAGTTCTCCCCCAAACTGACCTATCCTATCAACACCATCCTAGTCAAGATCCCACCAGACTGTTTTATAAAAATTGACAATTCAGGCCGGGCGTGGTGGCTCACACCTGTAATCCCAGCACTTTGGGAGGCTGAGGCGGGTGTATCACGAGGTCAAGAAATCGAGACCATCCTGGTCAACATGGTGAAACCCCGGTCTCTACTAAAAATACAAAAAATTAGCAGGGCATGGTGATGCATGCCTGTAGTCCCAGCTACTCAGGAGGCTGAGGCAGGAGAATTGCCTGAACCCAGGAGGTGGAGGTTGCGGTGAGCCGAGATCGCGCCATTGCACTCCAGCCTGGGTGACATGAGCGAAACTCCGTCTCAAAAAAAAAAAAAAAAAAAAAAAATTGACAATTCAATTCATATGGAAATGTGGTGGATGTGGAGTAGCCAAAACAACTTTGAAAAAGAGCAAAGTTGGAAAACTAACACAACCTGATTTCCAGATGTTATAAAGCTACGGTTATTTCTCAATGTAATCTGGTCTTCAAATGTAAAAATGTGTACAGATATCTAACCAATTTATATAGATTTTTGTTCTAAAACTCAGGGTAAGCCAGTAAGCATTCTTAGCCCCATAAGATTGTTTTGCTAGTAGATATGACTTTATTCCAAATGCCAAGAATGTACTTCTTTGAGAGCGTCATTGACTATCCACATCTTCTAAGTTATTTGAGTTTCTTCAAAGAAACCAGGATTAGATTTATGTTCTCTATTACAAATGATCTTAAAACCTATCGGTCCATCTAAACTTCCCATTAAGATAGAATCACCCCATTCCACTGGTTTATAAAGCTTTTGAATTAGCAGAAAATTTGTTTTGATGGACTGAATTTCTTGATTTAAAAAAAATTATCTTGTTCCATAACATTTAAAGTGAGAGTTTTTATACTTAAAAGATGTTGTGAATCCATTTTTTTTTTAGTAATGGTGTAGCAGATGTTTGAATTATAAATTCTACTGTCTGTATTCACTCTATGTTGCACATTCTTACTGGAAGTCTGTGACTGCTGTACACTGTGGTAATATTTAGGTCTGCAAGAACACAAAGTGTATTCCAAGGTTATGGGGGGGATACATCATAATTTAGTGAACTTCATAAGCAATACAAGAGGCCATGAGGATAAAGACATGAAGGTTTTAATCATCTCTGGCTCCAGAAAACCTCAAAGCACATACCTTTTTTTTTTTTTTTTTTTAAGAGAAGGGGTCTCATTTCGCTGCCCAGGCTGGTCTCAAACTCCTGGCTTCAAGGGATCTTCCCACTTCATGCTCCCAAAGTGCCGAGATTACAGGCATGTGTGACTGTACCTGGCCGGCACACATCCTTAACACTGATAATATTCCCAATAGCCTGGGTGCAGTGGCTCATGCCTGTAATCCCAGCACTTCGAAAGGCGAAGACGAGTGGATCACTTGAGGTCAGGAATTCGAGATCAGTCTGGCCAACATGGTGAAATCTCATCTCTACTAAGAATACAAAAATTAGCAGAGGATGGTGGTACATGCCTGTAATCCCAGCTACTCAGGAGGCTGAGACAGGAGAATCAATGGAACCTGGGAGGTAGAGGTTGCAATGAGCAGAGATTGTGCCACTGCACTCCAGCCTGGGCTACAGAGTGAGACTGTCTTAAAAACAAAGCAAAACAACAACAAAAAACAAAAACCATTCCCAATAAATAATGGCTATCCAGTAAGAGATGGGCAAATATTTAGTTGGATAAGATATATTGCTAACCGTAATAAAATTAATGTAAAAATCACATCCCATTATGAGTAAGCAAAATTCTAGCTTACACCAAGGAAAATTTTGAAATAGTTATTTTATCAATTAGTACAATTTATATATAAAAGTAGCTAATATTATGAGAGGAAAACTAGGAAGATGCAGAAAAAAAAGGGAATAGAAAAGAGGTGAACAAATATTATTATGTGCTAGTCACTTCATACATATTATTTCTTGTTATGCTCATAACAGTCCTGTGGGAGTTATAACTGCCCCGACTTTGCAGAAGAAAGAACTGACACTCAGCCAGGTGAAATAATTTGTCCCAAAGTCACATCCCTAACAACAGAACAACTCAGTTTCCAACCCAGGTTTGCTATTCCACAGTCTTGGTCCTTTCATTACTCTATGCAAATTACCACAGAAAGAATCTTAACAGAGCATATAATAGGCTTAGTTTATTTTTGCTGATGAAGATGTCTGCTACAAGCTGCCATGACAGTGAGCCACTGGGTTTGACTTACTTCAAGGAGGAATCCCCGACACCAATGCAGCCTCGCAAGCTGAGCTTCCGCAGGAATCCACCACATCGCTTCGAGATATTTTCCACCACTCGACCCTTTAATCAAGAAAGTTGGGGGGAAAATACAGTTTTTTTCATGCTGCTTATCTAACAGCAAACTAACCTGAAATCTAGGAACCGAATATATTTTTCCAAGTGTAATAGAAGATATTCTGGAACATTCTTCTTGCACCTCAGTTCTATCCTTAATGCATAAAGGGGTTGCAAGCACTGAAAAATGTTCTCAATTAAAGCATTAATTATTCTAAAACCAACCAACAAACAAAAACAAACACCTGTACCCTGCCTTTTGAAAGCCTTAGCCCTGGGGTTAAGCCTTCCCTACTCAGGGCTCACAGCCATTCTGCTGATCATAAGGCTTTTTGAGGTTAGCTGTGGGAATATCAGCCACTGAGCAGAAATCTAAGACAATGCTGCTTTAAAAAGAAAATCCTACTTTAGCTAAACATTACCACTTTAAAAGTACAATGTATCGTAAAAGCTCCCCCTCAGCCTCCTTAGCAGTCCCCTTCTTAAACACATTTGCTTTGAAAAAGGATCTTTTGCTGGGTACTGGCAGAGATATTACAGGAAGCAAAAAGAAAATGAACACTGATTAAGCACTTCCACTTTTAAAAAAAAGTTTTCTATTTCAAATCACTTCTTTACTTTAGAGACGGGGATGGTGGTGGTAGGTCTCACCCTGGTGCCCAGACTGGAATCCAGTGGTGTGGTCATAGCTCACTGCAGCCTCTAACTCCTGGGCTCAAGTGATTCTCCTGCCTCAGCCTACCACATAGCTAGAACTACAGGCACATACCAGGCTTATTTCATAAATATTATTTCTTGTTATGCTCATAACAGTCCTGTGGGAGTTACAACTGCCCTGACTTTGCAGAAGAAAGAACTGACATTCAGCCAGGTGAAATAATTTGTCCCAAGATCACATCCCTAAGATGCACCTGGTTTACTTCTATTTTTTGAGGAACAACTTCTTGTACCTATTATGGCTCATTTAACAGTAAAAAAAACTTCACGAACACTCCCAAGATCGAGGTAAGGAAGAGTATGCATGGGATACAGAAGATCCCTTAGGGAACCCCATGGTACTACCATGCCCTGTGATTTACGCCGGTAGCAAACTACAACAACCCAGTCCAAGCAGGACTATTAATGACCAGACCCTTCAGGAAGAAAGGTCTGAGTCCCTCCACCAGGTAAAGAACCGTGACCAGCTGAGGTGTGTGCTGAAAGCAAAGGAATGCAGAGCTGCATGGTGGAAGGAGGCAGTCATAAATACTAACTACAACCTCTACCTCCACCAGGGAGGAAGAGCTCAAAAGGAACAATTTCATTTGTTTGGAATACTATTATCCTCATTTTCTAAAACAGCAATCTTGGCACTGAACTGTGAGCGTGATGAATTCACCAGGATACGTAAAACCAAAACAGCTGGGCACAGTGGCTCACAGCTGTAATCCCTGCACGTTGTGAGGCTGAGGAGGGCAGATCACTGGAGGTCAGGAGCTCGAGACCAGCCTGGCCGACATGGTGAAACCCCATGTCTACTAACAATACAAAAATTAGTCAAGCACGGTGGGGCACACCTGTAGCCCTAGCTATTCGGGAGGCTGAGGCAGGAGAATCACTTGAGTCTGGGAGATGGAGGTTGCAGTGAGCCAAGATCACACCACTGCACTACTCCAGCCTGAGTGAGAGAGCAAGACTCCATCTCATAAAAACAAACAAACAAAAAACCCCACAGGATACATACTGTTACCTAGTTAAGATCTTAATTATGGTGAAAATCTAACCTTTGATATTGCTAGCACCCATTCATACTTTCTCGAGACTGCCTGTATTAATGATTATTAATATTTTTGAAGCAAAATTCCAGACAAGTGTAAAATAAATCTTTGCCACCAAGGGGGAAAAGATTATGACTTAGAAATCAAAGATAAGTATTTATTTTCCTAATAAATAGGAAAAAAAACCACACCTCTACACCAATGTCTACAAATGGAGCAACCTAATATACTGTTCTCCATTTCAAGTCAGTAACATTTATATCAACTTTCTATTCCTCCTTTTTTGGGGCAAAGTTCTTGTACCGGAATAAAATACTACAAACACAATTTTCATTCCACTGTTTCCAACTAAGAGGGAGGGAAAAAGTAAATCCATTTCAATGCAATATTCGAGCCAATGATTCTGTGTCTTATCTACTAGACAATACGTTGTAGGCATTCATTTTAGAATGAAGGGCTTTAGAGAAAAATAAGCCCTAAAATGGGCTCAAACACCCTTGGATTTATCACTTTTAGATTCACACAACTTGTTTCTCATTTTTGGCCTACCGCAATCTTCAATAACCATGGAAACATTGACAACAAAATGTCCAAGTTTTAAGGCACAGAACATGCCAGCCCAAACTTCAGGTAAGGCACACGTATTCAGGGAAGAGTGACGAAGGACAGCTACCATGTGTACTCGCCACCTGGGTGCTTCACTCTGCCTTTCCTTTGAATGGTGCCAGTCACACAACCCACCGTTCAAGGAAACTACAGTCTCCTCTTAGTAGGTGAGTGACCTTAGGTTAAGCTACTCAACGTTTTCTGTGCCTCAGTTTCTTTAATATGGTGCTTTGAAGAGAATTAAATGCATTAATGTTTGCAAAGTGCTTACTGCGGTGCCAGGCAACTTTTCTTTTCTCTCAACATATCCAAAAGTTGTCACTTCCTTCCCAAAGGGCATATTTTTAAGACTATCCATAAAATGTTTCCTAGGGCAAGCATCCTCCAAAGGGTCTTGTTTAAGGACTATGGAGGACCCCAAGACTTGGTTCATAATCTAGGCTGGACTCAGGGTGCTGGCCCAAAAGGGAAGCTAAGTGTTAGGACTAGATTGAAACCCTGGTGCAAGCTATTTTAGGTTTTCACATTCAATTATTTATGTAACTGGTGAACCATAAACTGGCTTCCCCTTTGTACTTTTAAGTATTTCTGGGATGTGTTTATATAGCAGTTAGCTGAAAGTCAGCAATCAGTTAAAATCTTATAAGCAAATAATCCACAGGTAGTGATATTTACTTGAAATAGTAGTGCTTTTTAATATCAAAATAATTTTTTAAATTGTATTCTGCAGGATTGTTGCATAGGTACATACATGCTACGGTGGTTTGCTGTCTCCATCCCCCCCCCCGGTGCCCCACCCCCACCCCCGTCACCTACATCAGACATTTCTCCCGCTGTAACCCCTCCCCATCCTCCCCACCCTTCCACTTTCCATCCCCTCCCCTCCCCTCCCCTCCACCCCGACAACTAGCCCAGTGAGTGTTATTTTCTTCCCTGTGCCCAAGTGTTCTCATTGTTCATCAGCCACTTATGAGAGAAAACGTGGTGTTTGGTTTTCTGTTCTCCTGTCACTTTGCTGAGTATGATGGTTTTTAGATTCATTCGTTCTCTATGAAGAACACAAACTCGTCATTTTTTATGGCTGCGTAATATTCCATGGTGTATCTGTGCCAAATTTTCCCTGTCCAGTCTATCATCGATGGGCATTTGGGTTGGTTCCAGGTCTTTGCTATTGTAAACAGTGCTGCAATGAACATTCGTGGGCATGTGTCCTTATAGTAGAACAATTTATAGTCCTTTGGATATATACCCAGTAATGGGATTGCTGGGTCAAATGGAATTTCTATTTCTAGGTCCTTGAGGAATCGCCACACTGTCTTTCACAGTGGTTGAACTAATTTACACTCCCACCAACAGTGTAAAAGTGTTCCTATTTCTCCACATCCTCTCCAGCATCTGTTGTCTCCAGATAGTCTAATGATCGTCATTCTAACTGGCGTGAGATGGTATCTCAATGTAGTTTCGATTTGCATTTCTCTAATGACCAGTGATGATGGGCATTTTTGCATATGTTTGTTGGCTGCATATATGTCTTCTTTCAAAAAGTGTCTGTTCATATCCTTTGCCCACTTTCGAATGGGTTTGTTTGTTTTTTTCTTGTAAATCTGCTTTAGTTCTTTGTAGATTCTGGATATTAGCCCTTTGTCAGATGGGTAGATTGCAAACATTTTTCTCCCATTCTGTTGATTGCTGGTTCACTCTAATGATTGTTTCTTTTGCTGTGCAGAAGCTCTTAAGTTTATTTAAATTCCATTTGTCTATTTTAGCTTTTGTTGCCACTGCTTTTGGTGTTTTGGTTATGAAGTCCTTGCCTATGCCTATGTCCTGGATGGTGTTGCCTAGGTTTTCTTCTAGGGTTTTTATGGTGTTAGGTCTTATGTTTAAATCTTAATCCATCTCGAGTTAATTTTAGTGTCAGGTGTCAGGAAGGGGTCCAGTTTCTGTTTTCTGCACATGGCTAGCCAGTTTTTCCAACACCATTTATTAAACAGGGAATCCTTTCCCCATTACTTGTTTTTGTCTGGTGTGCCAAAGATCAGATGGTTGAAGATGTGTGGTGTAGCCTCCAAGGCCTCTGTTCTGTTCCATTGGTCTATATCTCTGTTTTGGTACCAGTACCATGCTGTTTGATTACTGTAGCCTTGTAGTATAGTTTGAAGTCAGGTAGTGTGATGCCTCCAGCTTTGTTTTTTGCTTAGGATTGTCTTGGCTATGTGGGCTCTCTTTTGGTTCCATATGAAGTTTAAAGTGGTTTTTTCCAGTTCTGTGAAGAAGGTCAATGGTAGCTTGATGGGGATAGCATTGAATCTATAAATTACTTTGGGCAGTATGGCCATTTTCACAAAATTGATTCTTCCTAACCATGAGCATGGAATGTTTTTCCATCTGTTTGTATCCTCTCTTATTTCCTTGAGCAGTGGTTTGTAGTTCTCCTTGAAGAGGTCCTTTATATCCTTTGTTAGTTGTATTCCTAGGTATTTTATTCTCTTTGTAGCAATTGTAAATGGAAGTTTGCTCATGATTTGGCTCTCTGTCTGTTGCTGGTGTATAGGAATGCTTGTGATTTCTGCACATTGATTTTGTATCCTGGGACTTTGCTGAAGTTGCTTATCAGCTTAAGGAGGTTTTGAGGTGAGATGATGG